GCCACGTCATCCGCTAACAAAGTTGGTATTACCCAGTGCCCCTTCGTGAGAGCTTTGGTGCAATGTTCCTCAACTGCCCCGACTATTTCCGAATATCTCAAAGAATACATTTGTGGACTTTTCATTCTTCTTACAGTGTTTAAGTGTGTCTTTAATGTAGTAGTTTTTCCTATCCGTCTGCCTTTTGCTAATATAAATTTTATACTGGTACTAAATGTAATGTAAAATAAAGACGGGGCCCAAGATTTTACTGCATTTATTGCCTTAAAGCGGTTCTGTGTTTATTCAATACAATACAATGCAATACAATTAAAATATTTAAGTTTAATTCAATTCAAGTAATTTAAAAAATCATATTACTAACTTGTCCAGATGAATTGGTCGTGTCTGTCACCTACCAGACAAAAGATGTCATCAGTGAAAGTTATAATAATAAACTAGATGATTTATTTGTAAGATATTTGAATAATGATTACGATAATGCACCAACAACAATTTCAATACTAATAAAGTGTCTTCCACCGAAAGCGTTGTCCAATCACATTTCCGCTTTATTTACGATGAATTTCGTACACATAATCCGGAGTTCACAATGAAATTATTTGAAGTTAACACCAAATCTACGGCAGTTCTGTGCATCGTTAATGCAGGAGTAGGAAAAAGAGTTAAAATCTTTTTAAGAGAAGTTGTGTTACTTTTGTATCGAACTGATTGTTTATTGATTACTTCCTCTCTGCCCGTGTTCGAAGAGTAAAACACCGTTTTAAAAGACATTTTTTATAAATTGCTTAGTAAGACAGGGTTTTTCAACAACGGGAAAATTTATCTTCCTTTCCAAAGAATTTTATGATTTCTTTTACTCTGTTCTTACATAACTGCCTAGTCTACCAAGATATTTGAAAGTAAAATTTGGCTTACGGTGTCACTGTTTTAGTGTGACTGCTTTTTAATAATATCTTTTGAACACGCTGACGGGTTTTCATGAATCTTCGTATCAAACGTTAGTCACTAGGGACAGCCCCATCTTTGAGTCTTTCAATTAACCCTTTAAAGTCTATTCATTTTTATTTTGGGATTTCGTATGATTTTCATTCCAAACAGTGATTATTTCCTTAAACATCAACAACCAGTTGATCTTTGTAATGGTGAATAGTTGTGTTTTCTTTGCAGTACGGACCATATTTTTAAATATTATGTAGACAAGCTTCGGGTTTCAACGGGTCAATTGTATCAAGTTTTTGACCTGCGAACTTTTCCTTGTGGGAGCTACACCTACATATTTATGTTATGTTATTTATTTATTTATTTAGTGTTCTGTCTGACGACAGGTCCATATGAACAGGATCCTTCCATCCTTTTCTCGGACTGGGGCCTGTTCATATACGTTCTTGGCAGATGATCCAGAAGTGGTTGGCCATTGCCTTCTTCTGTGTGTGAATGGAGTAATTGTTGGGATGCCACGGAGAAGCCCCCGGAGGAAAACTCCGTGTTGCCTAGACCACGGCCTTGCCCAACACAAGTTATAAATTCGGGCACCGCCGGGAATCGAACCCGAGACCCCCCAGGATTACAAGGCCAGCGTTCTAAACGCTAGACTAGACCACCGTGTCACATATTTATGTATGACTCTGAAATATTGTGCGATAATGTATCTTGAAAAAATATGCAAGTTGTGTTAAGGAAAATGTGCAGGACCTAACAGCACTACATTTCGACTTTGTGACATTTTTATTTATTTTTCAGTATGATCACGATACCCGATGAATTATCGAAGCTAGGCAGTTTTGTATGTAAATAGATCACAAGTGGACATAATCATTTTAATGTTAACAATTGCATACATATGTGTTGTGTCCTTAGGAAGTAATATTAATTCTTTTGATGAACGAATCTTATCTAAATAATATTTAATAATACGAACTGATTAACACTGTTTAGCTAGATTATCGCCGTTTGCATCTGTGAAGATTTACCCCCACAATTTCAGCTGTGACGAGCCCCCTCGTCCAAATACGTGAGAACCTGAAATTTCTTCAAATGTATAAGGCCTGCCCGTCCACTGTTTGAATACGGTCTGCCTTGTAAACTTCCTTTAACTCGATTTTCAACCGGAATGACTCCACCCACTCGCCCCTCCCAAACTCTTTGTGCCCCTTCCCCGAGTCAGAGATCCCCCTTTTTTTTACTTCCATGTGGCACCGACGGGGGTTCAAGCCATTACTCCAGTAGACCCAGCTCCTGGCGGCATAACAGTAGCAGGCAAAGACTAATTACTACTGAACAAGGATTTGCTAAATTATCACCTTGAAACCCCTCCCCATGTCTCAGTTAATAACAGGAGTCACCACCCTTCTCTTCCCACTATTGAGTTATGACCCGACATAGTGCTACGACATTAACGTCTCTCAGTAATAACTCCCACAGAATATAAGAGCGGCAGCCCAGTGTTCTCACCCCCCCTTCACCTCATGGCGGACTCCTTTATACTCAGCACGTGACTTCAAAAGCATGAACAACCCCACCCTCTCATAGCTTCCACTCTATAGCTGGTATTTTAATTTCTACCACTTCCCCTCCTCTCTACTTCCCCTCTTTTTTACCATATTTTCCCCTCCTCACATTTTACGTGCTGGACGCTTGGAAATTTCAGTTACCCAGTTCCACAAATTGTTTTGATTTTCATTGCCTGCAATGTGATTTACGAACAAGTTGTGTGGATTTTTTTTTGTTTCCCCTAGAAATCGTGCAAACGTGCTCACGACAGTAGGGGAAGGAAGACCAGTCCCGTATTCTGGTGGCAACCAGTGGAATTACAATTTAGAAACAGTGCAGTAGCGTAAAGCACAGAATTTGTCTTAGCGCCATTCTTCCCTAGTGTTTACTATCCGAACTACAGAGAACATCTTTGCCGGGATTCGAAGAAAGAAACAATTTTTCTCTCGCCCATGGGTGATGGGGTCAACAGCGGCCGGGCCCCTAAAAATTGGTCAGCTGCGTGTCTAACAATGTAAGAAAATGTTTTGGAATTTATAAATCACTAGAGCAGGGCGCTCCTTTCGGAGCTCCTAGGGGGGGTTGGTCAAGTTTGTAAAACGCAACCAACCTTGGTTAGTCCCAAAGGGGAGTTAGTTTAGTGTCTCATTCAAGTGTTTTAACCCCTGAGTAAGAAACTAAACTAACC